TAATCGATTAAAAAACTTCCAAGAAATATGAGATTTATTGAAAGTTCATGATTCTATTTCAAGTGACATATGCGATTAGATTAATATGAGAAGGATAAATTATTTATTTATTATATTCTTTCTAATCTTCAAATAATTCATTCGCAATAACTTATTTAATGAGGTTATATAGTAGCGATATTACTGTAAACGTGGACTCTTAATACTACAAATGTAAAACTAATATTATACCAAATAAAAGATTTTACCTGACAGCGAATCTAATATGCATCATTTCTGGGCCTCTTTGGGGCCCAGAAGTTGACATATTAAATTTCACAGCCAGATAATAAAATAAAAAATATAATTGATGAGGATTCTAATAGTAAAAGAGGTCATGAAAGGCTTTTTAGTAATATATAAAAGGTGGTTTTTTATGAGTAGTTTCGTGTTATGGGCATTTTTTGTAAACACGAACGTTTGTTTTGATTTTTTTATAAAATGCTACAAAGAAAATCACATATTACTCACGTAATTTACAGTATAATTGGCATAATTATTTACGGTATACCAATACAGTATTGTGAATATAAAGATCTGCAAATTGGTAGTATTATAGACTATAATACTTTGTGTAACTACCAATTTGCAGATCCTTATGTTCGCGTCTTTAACTCCAAATATCTTGGGATCCACAAAGCCAATTTTGATGTTCTAATCACCATTAGAACCAGAAAAGTCTTCTTTACAACTTTATTTAGAAGCCCAAAAGAGATTTATTAAATTTTTTTTTAATTTTTGTTATATTATTATATATAATATAACAGGTACCGTCATCCAACTTCAGCCAATTAGATTATATTTTTGTCTCATAGTATTTGTACCCATGAATTATCTCATAGTGTTTATCTACCTCAATGCTCCTTATATAATAGATACATATATTTACTGTAAATAATATTTTTAAGTTTTTTTATTAAAAATGAAGCCTAAGATCGATAGTTACACAAATTTATAGAATGTTAGTAGTATTAAGAGTGGGTGGGTAGAGGACAGGTGGATGAGTCAATAACAATTATTGACAATTATTAAGGGTGGGTGAGTAGGTTAACTGTTTTTAACAATTTAATAAAAATGGGTGTAATTGTTTGTTTATTGTTATGACTCGGGTCCTTTGTAGGATCTTTGTCAAAAAAATTAACATTTTTTTGATTATAATGAACATTCACACTTTAGTAGAGGAGAGATTTAGTAATATCTATTTAAAAAGACTAGATAATATAGTAATAGTAGATATCAGACTGCTCTAGCAGATAATAATCTTGAGAATAAATCAGTTAACCATACCAGTAGTTTTATAAGTAATTTATAATGATCTTAAGTTGTAGAATAACTAAAGTACCTTATCGTTCTGATAAGATTAGATGAATTGGTATAGGAAACTCAAATTAGAGAGTTTAAATAAAGAATTTTAAATATAGTATATAAAGAGTAACTATAAATAGAAATAGATATAGCAGAAACTTTAAATAGGCAATGACTAAGTTGTATATATGTTTATATGTATTCTTATCAGAATATACTTGTCTAAAACTTTTTAAAAAAAGCACCACATAATCCTACAATCTAATAAAAATAATAAGCCAAAGAGGCTAATATTAACTATAAAAAAAAAAAAAATTAAAATAGTAGTTTTTATTGAGATTTATTATTTTCATTATTTTATTATGATTATATAAAATTTTCTATTTTTAGTTTTAAATATAATATTAATTTTAATTAGAGTTATATAATTTAGCACATATACATTATAATACACCCTGATCAACCAATTAAAACATAAAATCAAATATAATATTATATATTTAGAAAAATTCAAAACAAACGTTCGTTTTGCCAAAAATTATTATAACTCAAAATTTTGCATATCTAACTACTTTTTGGATCTTAACAAAAAAAATTCCTTGCAAATTTTACTATAAATTTATCTTTTATTTCTACCTTAACCTTATCTAATGCTTACTCTAATCATATAAAAAACTATTGTTTTAGTTCTGATCTTATGGAGTGTATTATAATATATTTGCAATAAATGATTAAATTCTTTTAACTAATCATATAAAATTAATATTAAAAAACTTTTTTAAAAATTAAAAGGTATGATAAGAAGTTTATATCCTGTAGCTTAGCAGTTAAACTCTCAAACCCTACAGACAAGATTGATAATTCAAGTTAGACTGAAAGCAAATTATTTAATTTGTCTCTGTAAGCTTAAAAAACCATAATTGAATACAAAGACTTGTAACTAAATTCAAGTGCAAATTAGGGACCAACAAATATTTGGATATCAAATTACAAAAATTTATTTGGATAATATAAAAAATTTAGAAAAATTTAGATATTGGTCTGCATTACGAAATTAATTTATAATTTAGGCCAAGTTACGTGACTAATGATGATTCGAATTTTTTGCAATTTTTGCATCACCTCATAACTAATTATTTCATGTGATTAGAAGCTATTTTAAACCAATGAAAACAATTGTATTTATAGATACTATATTGCTAAAAAACTCTTAAAATTTGGATTTATTTAGATTTTATATAAACATTTGAAAATATTTAAATTGATTTTGGTTCAAATTTTTGTTGATTTCTGGTGTAAATATAATTCTAAAATGGAATTCTCAGAAGGAGACCCAAACATAAAGAGTGTAATTTAGTTAGGGAATATACCAAATTAGAAAATTTTATTCTAAAATGATCTATGAACCAATTCATAAATTTGATTGGCTCTCACGTGCATTTTACTCCTCAAACATCATTATACAGTATTTTAAAAAAAAAATTTTAATAATTGTTCAAGTTTAATAAACTTTAAATATATAGTTCAAGACGTCTAGTTTAAATAATCAAAGTTAATTAACACCGATCAACTTTTGTCAAAAAACTAAATGAGATGTTAAAAATAAATATTTACTCTGTATAGAAAGCTAAGAATTGTTATTAGTTAACTTTAAATGAGTTTAAAAATTGTATTATACTATATTTGAATAAAATGTTAAATATATTTATACTAAAACCATTATATTGTTAACTTAACTATCAAATAGGTATCAATATAGTTTACAAAAGAGAACATTTGTAATATTTTAAGTAGATTTAGATCGCAAATTGATAGATAGTACTATTAAATAATACTTCATATATAGGTGGTATTTTTTAATAATACAAACTAAATATTGTAATACAGATTAGTAAAGGCGACAATTATTATATAGAATAAAACTATTATTTAAAATATTTAATAAAAAGTAAAGCTTTGCTTATAGTTTCGTTAATAATAAGTTGTTTGTTCAAATATAGTTGTTGATTAATTTAATTGGTTAATACTCATATGTTGTGAACTCTAAAATTTTCTGATCGACATCCTTATGCCATAAAAGGTGCAATCTTCAATGTCCATTTTTAGAATATTCCCTAACTGTAATTACGGTATTATAAAAGACTGCCACTATAAAGATTGCACAAATAAATTCTTTAAGACAAGGCAGTACCAATATTCTTGTATCTTCAGTTTAGACAATATCAACATCTCTATACCCAACTTGTAGAGTACTTGTTCAGAAAGGTGGTTAATAGATTATATGAATAAGTCCTTATGTGTGAACTAAAAAGATACAGATACTTGCTTTGAAAGGTAATCATTTAACCAAAAGTTGAAGTAGTAAGAAAACTGATAAACATGTGAATGAACTGTGGTAAGAGATTGACCTTATCTAAATCAAAAGCACCTCTGGCAATGCAAAATGAAATTACTATAGAAGGCAAAAATATAGAGATTGTCTAATATTTTTAAGTATATGTAAAGATACCAAATTGGGCTCTGGTCACACTTATATAGAATTCTATAATCTATTTGATAAACGTTTAAAATTTTGCAAACCCTTTGATCGAAGATATCTCGACGCCCACCTAACCAAATTCGATGAAATTTTTTTATTTTGATTGTAGAAAACTATAGAATTCAAACAAAAAAAAGCTTATCGAATTTTGTTAGGTGGGTACTAAGATATCTTCGATCAAAGTTTTAAAAATTGTAAATAATTTAAAATGATCTAAATTAACAGGGGGTGTGGCATTATCAAAAAAAAGAGTGTGGAAATATCAATTCCCTTATTTTATTACAAAAAATTTAGTAATATTCTAACTAATTTCAGGTGCTAATTTCAAACAGGCGCAACCTCAGGTGCAACTTTAAATAGATGTTAACTTCAAGCACGATTTGTATTTTAAATTGGAAATTCTTAAAAACTATTTAATGAATATTCATTTTATTCACATTAACTGTCTGAACATAAAAAGTTATTCGCATTTAAATCGCACAAATAACGTGTAGCGAATACAATACGAGTGATGAATGGGTGTGAGGCATGACTATTTAATGATCGATCATTTATCGACTGACCATATTCAAAAAAATTTTTATGGTCAGTCACGATCAAACAAGTCAAATGATCGATCATTCCTTAATTGATCATCAGCTCTACCAGTCAATAACATTGATGCTCTTTATTTTTTCTCATTTTCACCATCTTTACCATCGTTTTCCTTTCGATTATTGTTATTTCCAGAAAATCCCTGCTGAAGAACATTCTGAATTCTTGGATCATGGGTATCTACTCCCGGTAGGGATTGCAACACCGAACTCATAACTTCATCCGATACAACAATCTAAGAAAAACAATAATAGCATTCAATTATTAATGAGACTTTTCGTAGTAATCAACCAAAAATAAAGTAAAAATTTTATACCCCATCGCTACTTTGCATTGACATTTCAATGGCACGAGCCATTTGCTCTTCTTCAGTTAGTTCTTCCATTTGAATATCCCCATCCTATTATAATAATAAGATAATATTAATCGCAGTAACTATATAACTATACAACTAAACTAAAATCTATACATGCATTTTCTGAAGCCGATGGTTGTGCCAAAGAACCATCATTTCGGTTTGATGAGTCACCACTTGTAATTGGTTGATCAACAGCCATTGTTGTTGATTCTCCCTCTTGATTTGAAGCCGCAGCAGTGGTAGATTTTGATTTTGCCGCTTCAGCTTCTTGTCGTACCTTTTCTTCTTCTTGCCGTTGCTTTTCTTCTTCAAGCGAAATGCGCAATGCCTATAAACATGCGATAATTATGCTAGATTAAATAATTCCATAAAGATGAATGATAAATAAATTCATAAAAAACATATATACCATCGCCAATTCAGGATCAAGATTTGGATCGACGCCAAATTCATAACTACCGCCACTACCAACAGTAAATCCAGCAGGAACGCCACCATCTTCACCTGCTATTATTGGGGATAATATCAAAATATCACTAAGAATATGCGGACCAGGAGGAACCGTGACAAGATGACTAAAAAATATATATAAGTCAGTAATAATAGTATAATGAATATATGCATAATTAATACGTGCCTATTATCACCACTTTTGACGGCACTCACAAAGGCATCTAATTTAGCAGTATTTTCAGCTTCCTCCCCGAAATTGATGATATCCACAGCAATATTGTTCTTTTTTGTTCTTTTAGCTAACTTTATTAGAGTATTTTTGTCGGCTTCAATCGGACTGCCTACAAATACTATGATTCGCTGTTTTTGATTCTTATTTTGTCTATGTTTGAGTGCAAGCTGTGTTTTAAATCAAATTAATAACGAATTTTTAAAAATTCACAAACATTACTTAAGTAATAGTTAGTAAATGTACCTGAGCAATTTGAATACCAGTTGTAAAATTAATTTTACCACCAATTTGTGTCTTATGCAGTGCAGTCAATATTTTGCCATGATCTGAAGTTAAGGTAACAAGGACTTCGGGACTAAAGAGAAATAAATGAGTAGATCCAATAATTTACCATAACCAAACGCTTTCAACCTGTGCATTTACCTTTTGCCGGCCATAGTTAGCATTCCAACAGTATTTTCTGGATTTTGTTGAGTTTTCGAGCTAAATACGAGATTAACAGCATCCTTTTGTGCCTCTAAACGAGTAGGCGTGTAATCACCATTACGCATCCATTCAGAGTTGTCCAATCTGTATTTAAATGCAATAAGCATATAATAAAGATCAATAGAAATTAGGTTAATAAATACTCACACTATCATAGTAGCTTCAAGAACCATTTTGAAAGAATTCTTTTTTCTAAACTACGTACGTACGTACGTACGTATAGATATCGCTTTTATATAATATAGTGTTAGTACGTCATCAGTATCTTATGATTGGATGGTGCAAATCTATTGCCCGAGTACCGTAAATGGCCATATAGACGACCCGGGTATGTTACATTCCGCCGTTTAAAAAACTTGAATTATACCCGGGGGGTATATTGTTTGGAGGGGGGTATAGTAATAGGTAGAATTCTTCTTGTTAGATATAAATTACTAATCAAGAAACCCCGGGTCTCTTACATTCCACTAAATTCTTAACCCTAGTTTAGACCCGGGTATAATAGAGGGGGGTCTACTATCAAGGGGGGGTATTTTATATGGCCATTTACGGTATGTTTCACCAGGATGGCAAAAAATAACCCCAAAGTGCAGACCAATGGCGCAGCCGCAGCATAAATAACCATAATGACAATTTATTTAAATTTTTTTTTATTTTGAAGCCATTAGTCAGAATAAATGTTCATTAAGAGGTTTGAGGTTTAAAATTAATATCGATTATCGTGTATACCCTCTCAAATTTGATATGCATAGTACAGTCACAAAAATGGAGCAAATCAATCCTTTGTCTATTTATTTCACTTTCAATTTTGTACTACACATCAAAAATCTTGATGGCTTGCTGATTTTTGGTCTCGAGTTCAACAACCAGGTAAAACTGTTGAGGATTATTATACTGAATTGGAGCATTTATATCGAAAAGTTAATCTAAATAATCGAACGTCTAAAGCAGAGCAGATTCTTTTAATATATATTTTATTGAATTAACTTTAGGGTTAGGGTCATCTTATATTGGGGTTAGGTTAGGTTTTAGGTAGTTATATATA